CAAATACTCAGATATGGAATATAAATATTGAAGTGCCTCTTGAGCGTTTAGACATCATCAAGCAAGGAAGAAGTAATCTTAAAACTTTAATATTGTTTTTATGATTTAATTCTACATTTTTACACTCTTAGTAGTTATAAATGAAACAAGTAATATTCTGAGCCTTCTCAGATAAATCTCTGTCCACGAAATGAATCTTAATTGGCCTTGAGGATTGTGAGTTTATACAGATTGTTTCCACCTAACAGCTCTCCCCCTCAACTCATGTCACTCTGCCTTATCTCCAAAGTGTCCTCACCTTTTTCAATGCTCTAATCAAGTTCTTGGTAGTCAAATTGATTGTAGATTGTTACTCCTTGATCATATATTGCCTCCTCCTAATTACTAGCTTTTGGGACTTGGGTTTTGATAATACTTTGCACCCTCTACTCAGCTTCCAAGATCTGTTTAGTAAGAGACTCCTCTTCTTGTAGTAAGGCTGCTCTGATATTTCGATACTTTAGTAATTTTCCTCTTCCTCTAATACTTCTACATTCTTTCTCTTTGTAAGATATTGTACTAACTTCTCTTTTCTTATCTCAACTAGGTATCTTGCATTCTAGTACTTACACTGTGTACTTTCATATTCCTCTGTCAATTGATATTGGAAAAAATATGCAATATCCTCTCTGTCAATCCATGCCTTTTCCATAATAGGTATTCAAGTACAATTAACTGTTCGCTTATGTTGTATATCAACTAGCTGATTTTGCAAATTCTGAATCTCATAATCCTTCTCATTAAGGTCTATAAGTTTCCTCTTAGCGCTAATTGACAAATTACTGACAATTCTTTTCAGTTTCCAATCAAGTGGATCATTCCTTAGTAATAATACTATTGCTATAAGTTTCTGTTGCTCTATTTCAGATCTATTGTGAGGTATTTGAAGACTATTAATTTACTGTATTGTAAGGGAACTTAATGGCTGAGGATCAGATAATACAGGATTTACAGTTGAAGAATTTAGATTTGTTGAATCAGATTGAGGGTTTGGGGCTTTCGACCTCTCAGCTTGAATTTTTAATAGGATAATATTTCTGTTGACAGGAATAAGACCTATATTATAAAATCCACTTCGAATGTTGTCTGGTGTGAATGAGGCAGGTCGGGCAATCATGAGAATTTCATAAAAATTTTCTTTCTAACCTCCATACTCAGGTCTTTTGAATTGCCAAGTTAGCTCTATTTGGTATTGATATTTGTAAGGACTAAATATACAAACATCTAATAGTTATAGTTAGTAAGTTGTATGAGGAGGGAGGTAGTACAGAATAATTTTGTATAATATGCAGAATTCTAAAAATTGTATATTGACATGACTGTTATGTTCATTAAATAGCAGAAACCAATATTCACTTGTTGCCTTTTGTACAGATAAACTTATAGGTTTAAAGTTTTATTTCAAAAACTCTTTAGCCATAGTTTCATTTGTCCACACATTTTGTGAATGTCTAAATACAATATTCTCTGTATTGCCTTTTATCTTTTTAAACCATTCTGCAATAAATTGTTGAGCCTTTGAAATTATAGTTGGATTCGGAACTATTCCATCCGCTCATATTCCCTCAATAACACTTACAAATTCTCGTGTACTATTTATTTCATTAGAAGTAAATCTTTTGTAAATAATTTATTAAAAGTTTTGATATTTGAATATGGGAAACAAACTTTGTACACAATACTTCAATTCACTATTTTTTCTTGAATTTCTTTTCACTTCTACACTATTTCTGACTGATCTAAATCAAGTAAAAATCTAAGCTTATCAATATTATATATATTCTGAGGTTGAATATTATACTCATCAGTAATAGTTTCTAACTATTTATATATTATAATCCACATTAATTTAAATTACAACTATTCCATATCAAAAAACACTAAAAATAATAATTAATATTAAAAATACTAGAAAGAATAAAAAAAAAAAAATAAAAAAAAAACCTGGATGAAAAGTACCTTATTAAAGAAACTATTCATTAATTGTAAATCATTTCCAAGAATATTGTGAATGAAATCCAGTTGTTTGCTAAACTTGGACTTCACTTCAGGATAACGCTTTTTAAATCCTTGTTCCCACCTTTTTCGAAGGATCTTGTAGGGATTTCTTTTTTGAATGACGCAAGTGGCAATTTTACATAATTACCATATTGTTAGTGGAAATCTGAGACAGTAGCAGAAGTAACATCGATCTAGTACTAATTGCTCTTCTTCTGGATTACACTTCTGTCTTCACTGGCCCTCTTCATCACGGTTTTTATATCCTTGTCGCTTGTGTATCACTGTACTCGGTGCTTACTGTACATTGCCACTGCAATCATTAAACTTGGTGCTTCTCCAATGGTAGTCATCTCGATCGCCATTTGCTCTTAAACTCATACAGGAATTGGAGGCATGATCAAAGTAATTGGTATGACAGAGATATAATCTTTTGTTTCATATGCTTGAACAAGACTTTGATGATTATATCTACTTTACTAACTATTCTCCAATACAAAGAATGCCAAGGTTTGCTGCGCCTCGCTGAGCCCTCACATGGTTTAATCTTTGTTAAACTGTTATTTTACAGCATTTTGTAATGTAAACTGAAATTATATAAACAGGAAATCTAATCATAATAAAAGGCTATCTTGTTACTGGAGCATTTCATTTGTTATAGTAATGCCAGAAAGATACTTGCGTATTAAGAGGGATCAGATTGTAGAGACCTTCAGTGATATATACTTAAGTACGGTACATCATTTTCCAGAACTATCAGACTCATGAAATACTTATATGTACAGTTTGTGCTGTGACATTTTTATGCTCAGTGTGGTTCCCACACGGGTAATCACTTGTAGTATATATATTTCTCTCTCTCTCGCTGGTGGTTTGATGGGTGCGTTGGGATGCCGTTGTTTGCTTTACTGGGTCGTCGTGATGCGTACCGGCATTTTTCACTTTAGGGCCTGTCTTGCGACAGCGTGAATGTTCAAATGGTCGGGGTGGCGGGAATATGGTAAAGGTGTCCCTAGCATGATACTATACTCGGCGCCGTGGCGCGTCCGAGAGAGCAGATATTCCAACCACAGAAAAGTTGGTGCCTTCAGAAGGTAGGTAAAATTACCATAATATTAGAACTCAAGTACTGAGCTGAACAGTAATTTACAGTAAATAGGACCAAGCACTGACTTAACCGGACTTAACCTGGTGCTGTATGTAGTCTGCGATAAAAGTGATAAGTTACTTGATTAATGGCCCTGGTCGCCATACTTGTATTTCCCTCTCATTCCCTCTCTCTCTGAGGGGAATAAAATACCATATAGTGCAAAGTACACTCTTCGTAAAGGGAAAAAGAAAGAAAGTAAAAAAGAAGGGCCCTCACAGTCATAATAAGCAAACGGGAAATAATATGAAAAAGGAGGGGAAAAAAGTTGAAAACGCCAAAGGAGAGTAGTGTAGTACATCGCAGAAATATCCCGTCCAGCTAGAGGAGGTCTAGTCTCCACACACACAGCCGGGAGGAGGGGGAAAGGGAAACATGAGAAGGGGAACAAAAAATAATGAGAAATACTGTACAGGTAGGACACACAAGAACAACCTTCCAAATAAACAGATCCCGATGTTAGGAAAGTAGAGAGTTGAAAGAAACGAAAGCAATTGTCAATGGATCAATCCGCGCTTTCCCATTTCCCATTCCCATCCCCACCTACCACGATTCGACCCCGCAACCTTCACAAACTTGAGTACGATACTTAATTACTCCCCACAAACTAAAAACTCCGCCTCTTCAAACTCCTCCCTTTCACCCATAATGACATCCCCTTCCGCCTCCTTCCTACCAATCGCGGCATGGAATCTCCTGCGAAGGGACTTTGGTATGGCAATTTCCCCCCTAACAACCTCGACTGGGACATTCTCCTTTTCTTCCTTCCCTTCTACCTCCTCCGCGAATTCGCGCTTCTTGCTGGGGCTTCCGGGGGCGATGGTGATTAAAGATTTTAGTGGCTTCGCGAGAGTATTGTTGGACTTGGTAACTGTAAAGGTATTGAATTTGTAGGTTCCGGACTTGTACCCTTCGGGAACGCTCTTGCGGACTCGCATGCCCACGGTTAGGAGGGAGGACTTGATGGGTGTTGGGATGTCGGGGGGGGCGGTGGTAGCAGTGGTGGAGCGGGAGGAAGGGGCAAAGAATGAGGTAATGGTGGATTGGGAGGTGAGGTTTTGACGTTTGCGGGGAGTGGATGGGGTAGACATTTCGTTGAGATGTAGTACGATAGTTTATAAGAGGGTAGATATTTTATTTTTGGCGTAGTATGTTCGTGAGGCGCAGAAAACGGTCGACTGGGTTATGGTAGCGGTGGTGGTGATGGAAGGAAGTACCGTAAGGAAGAGAGTGGAAGGGGGCGGAAGTCAGATAGCAGTGAATGATTAATGAGATTAAAACAGCACGAAGCAGCCAGCTTTGTTTACCCAGCCAAGCCAAACACATGATACAAAGTCCAAGCTCGTTGTCCGGGGAACCTACCGCTATCCCCTGCCAAGGAAAGATGAAGTATCATAAGCGAGTTAGTTACCCGGCCCGGATACTGCTTTCTGGTCTTTTCGAATTGAACACCTAAAAACAAAAGAGCTACCGTACTAATCTTGGCGAAAGGGTTTTTGGCGCAAGCTGGCCTTTTTGCTTCCAGAGCCTCACCATAAATCCAAGTGAGCTTTCCCCAACCTTTCTTCTTAAAACGCGCCTCTCTCGTCCCCTCCCTCTCATTTTCTTGGTTTTTTTTTTTTTTTTCAAAAAAAAAACTAGTTCTCTCCCTTCCCCCCCTCACATACGTTACGTGCCCCACGTTGATCGTTCGCCCCACACTATAAGTACGGTAGTAGGAGACCTCGAAGTCCACTACTCGAAGAAGGATAGGAAGAAAAACGATATCAACCGTTCACATACCGGTATCCCATTCGTGGGAGTCCTGGTGACAGCCATGCGCCCAATATCTGCATCACCAGCAGCCCTAGCGGGTCTGCTCGTACTCTCTGTCTCCTCTTTAGCATCTGCCTCGGCCGCCGTACTGGGTATAGACTTCGGCCAGGAATTCATCAAAGCCGCGCTAGTCAAACCTGGAATCCCCCTCGAGATAGTCTTGACGAAGGACACCAAGCGCAAGGAAGCCGCGGCTGTAGGCTTCAAGCCAGCCAGCAACGGCAAAGAGGGGGAATTCGCATACCCGGAGCGACTATACGGCGCCGACGCGGTCAACCTCGCAGCTAGGTTTCCACACGATGTTTACCCGGGGTTGAAGAAGGTTATGGGTCAGCACATTACGGATGACTCGGTCATGGCGTATTGGGCGAGGAATCCTGCGCTCTCGGTTGTTCCCAATTTATTCCGGTCTACGGTTGCGTTCCAGAGCTCGTCGGCGCCGCCTGTGGATTCTGGAGAGGGGGAGTTTACGGTTGAGGAGCTTTTGGCTATGCAGTTCAAGTCAATTGTGTACAATGCAAAAGCTTTGGCGGGAGCGAACACCAGGATTAGGGATGTGGTGTTTACGGTTCCGGCGTTTTTGAAGGCTGAAGAAAGGAGCTCTCTTAAGCTCGCCGCTGAGCTTGCTGGATTAAAGGTTATGAGTTTTGTTTCGGACGGATTGGCCGTTGGGATCAATTACGCTACTACTCGTACCTTCAATGAGAGCTCGCCTGAGTATCACATTGTTTATGATATGGGTGCGGGGTCGACTACGGCTACTCTACTGAGGTTCCAAGGCAGGAGTGTAAAGGATGTTGGGAGGTTCAATAAGACAGTTCAGGAGGTCACAGTTCTTGGCATTGGTTACGACACTGAGCTCGGCGGAGATATCTTTAACCAGGAGATATTCGAAATTCTTCTAGATGACTTTGTCAACAACCCTAAGGCGAAGGGGCTCCTTGAGGAGGACCCGGACCTCAAGAACACTGTTCGCACCAATGGCCGTGCTGCATCTAAGCTCTGGAAGGAGGCAACCAGAGTCCGACAGATCCTCTCCGCTAACACTGACACTGTTGCTTCTATCGAGTCATTGTACAAGGATATTGATTTCCGCTCCAGCAAAATCACTCGCGCTACTTTTGAGAAGCTTCTCGCCCAGTACGAGGCTCGCATCACCAAACCGATCACTGATGCAATTAGCAACGCTAATGTTGCCTTGAGTGAAGTCAATACATTGATCGTCCACGGAGGTGCTGTCAGAACCCCATTCGTCGGAAAGAAGATTGAAGATATCATAGGAGGTGCTGAGAAGATCTCTAAGCAAGTCAATCCTGACGAGTCAGCTGTCCTTGGAGCTACCTTTAAAGGCGCGGCTGAGAGTGGTGCTTTCAAGGTCAAGGAGATCCGAACCCAGGATATTGGTGCTTTTGGCGTCTCTATCAAGTACAAAAAGGATGCAGAGGCAAAGAAAGGTATGTGATAGTGGGCGATCCTTATAAGGAAGATCAATTATCACTGACATCTCCTTATAGAAACCGTCCAACAAATCTTCCCCTTTTACTCCAAGATTGGCAGCGAAAAGGTCATCCCTTTCTCTCGGAACTCGGAGCTCACTTTTAACACTGTCCACAACCTCCCTCCTAGGATCAACGACCCCAACCAAAAGCCTAGGCAGGAACTGCTCGAGACTATCGAGACATCTAACCTTACCAGCTCTGTCAAGAAGCTTCAAGATGACTTTGGATGTGCGGAGAACGATATTGTTACTAAATTTGGTATTGTGCTCAACCCTAAGGACTCTCTTCCAAAGGTCATTAGATTTTGGGTCGAATGTGGCGTCGAGGTTGCTCCGGAAGCTCCAAAAAGGGATGCTGGTGGTGCCTTTGAGGATGTCAAGGGATTTTTCGGGTATGGAAAGAAGGATGGTGAGCAGAAAGTTTTAAAAGATGAAGATTCGTCGTCGTCGTCGTCGTCATCTACATCCACCAAGTCGTCATCAACTTCATCATCGGTAGCCTCGAAGTCGACTAAGTCAGCGGACTCACAGCCTAGGGCCATTAGGAGAATTGAAAAGATTCCTGTCAAGTATACTATTACCAAGGCCGGATTTCCCAACATTCCGGAAAAAGACATGACGTCTTTGATCCTGAAGTGACTCCCTCCATCTAACCTAGCAATGTTACTTGTTCACTAACATTCACATAGGATCCGCGGATTTGACAAGCATGACAAAGAGCGTAAGGATCTTGAGGAAGCTCGTAACAACCTTGAGGCATATACCTACCGTGCTAGAGGTTATTTGAGTGATGATGCATTCATCGCCGTCTCCACTGAAGAGCAACGTGAGAGATTGGACGCCATGATTAGCGAGGCTAGCGATTGGCTTTACGGTGATGGATATACTGCTGGCCTTAAAGAAGTCCACCAAAAAATCAAGCAGCTTGAGGCTCTTGAAGCCCCCATTTCTAAAAGAAGGACGGAGAAGGACAGTCTCCCGGAGGCCCTCAAAGGTCTTAACAATATCCTTATCTCCATGAAGGGTTTCATCGAGCGTGAGGAATCTCTTGCTGAGGCGCAGTCCGACGATTCCTACTCATTCGACTTGAAGCCGCTGAAGAAGGCCTATGAGAAGGAGAGAGCCTGGGTTGAAGAGAAGAGTGCCGCTCAGGAGAAGCTCCAGCCCCATGAAGGCCCCATATTAACCTCCGAGGAGGTTACTGCTAAGGCTACGGAACTTACCACGGAACTCATCACCTCGATTCATACAAAGAAGGAGCTTGAAGATATGAGGGAAAGGAGTCTGAGGAAGGCAGCAGCAGCAGCAGAGAAGGAGGCGAAGGAAGCCGAGGCAAAAGCGAAAGCTGAAGCTGAGGCAGCCGCGAAAGAGGGGGGCGAGACGGAGGAGGAGAAGACGGAGAAGGTTGAGAGTGAGACCGAGGTAGAGGAGACCGGGGAAGTTGAGGAGAAGGTGGAGAAGATTACGGAGGAGAAGACTACGGAGGGGGAGGAGGTTGAGGAGCGGAAACGTGACGAACTGTAGATGAAATTAGAGATACACGAAGTCTCCTTTTTTTTTGTATGTTTATGTTCATTACCTCATCGTTTGTTGAAAACTGCGGATAAATACATCGTGCTTGTTTTTGGAGCCGTAACCCCTTCATCATAGGATTCGGGAGCTCATTTTGTACCTCCCCAAAAGTAGAGAATCTGAAGAAAGAATGAAAAGTAGTGCAGATCTGGCGAATGATCGTGATGACCGGTTTCGGTGGTGAAGACTATAAAATAGGCTAGCCTACCCGGGTAAGATCCCGTTAGAACTTGGAAGGAATGGAGACCAGCTCACAGGCCTGTGAATCCGCCGAAACAGTTCTTCGGGGGTCTCTCATCACATTGATGAGGTGTATGATAACAGATCTTGGTATTTCGATACACCGAGTGAGAAGAGAAAGTCGTAATGCTTGCCGGATATCTCCAAGCCAAGTTTTATATCAACTCAACGAAACCAGCCCCATAGCGCCAGGGTGTACGAGCTACACTACGTGTGTTGAAATTGGATATGTTTGCTCCCCGGAGCCATACGTGCAGTATCATACAAGTAGCTGGACAAATCCCCCCAGCTGATATACAGTCATCCTTGAACCCCTCCAAAGTGCCTTGATCCACTTCGCCCTTTTCCTGCACGTCACACTCAAAGGAACCTTGATTGTCGAGATTGCCAATACCCGCAAGGGAACGCCCAACCAGAACTCTACCACGGTGGTTGGGATGTTACCTATGCGTTCTGGAGTGATGTGGGTTGATTTTCTTCGGTTGAGAGGAGGTCCTTCTGTGGTGATGCTTCCGGTGTTGTTGGCCACGGCATATATTAGACTACGACCGAAGTGTGTGAACTATGATATGATACTTGTGGGACATGACAGTGGACGCCGAGCTTGGATATTAGTAAGTCATTCGCTTTCCGTATAGTAGTTCTCAGAAGCAAGAGCACCCCTCTCAATACCTTACCTAAGCAGTTTCCCACAGTGCCGATCTAATCGAGTGTAGATCAAATTTAAATATCGGGTTAGGCTGCTTGTGGTTTCGCGGAATTCCCAGTGATGAGTTCTTGTGGCGCGCCCCCTCGGCACATAACTTAGGGACGTTATTTCTACAGCTAACTAGAATTATAATCTATCCATCAGAACATTTTATCGAGAAAACCCGGAGTTAAAGGATTTTAAACTGATATTTGTATCATAGTCGAACTACCGCGCTGACTGCTCAAATTCGACCAGCCGCTACCAAACCCTACCCTGTGAAAGGCTTAGTATGGCAGTTAGAGAACAATAAGGGAGTACTCGAGTACAAAGTTGGTACTGATACCGGTACCGGTATTTCTACACTAGTAGATAGGAGACTCTAAGCTTACTAGAGGCGAGCACTTGTTAGCGGAGCTAGTAGAGTTTGAGTAGTCAATGCGGTATCCCACGGGTCAGAGTTTGATGCCAGCTCAACGTCACCCTTATCCAAGCGACTCTGTAGAGCCAAAATGTCCATTTTGAGTAAATTTATGATAGCATTTTCAGGAAGCGAGAAGCTCTTTTTTAAGTTTATATCTGTGTTAGCCCTACCACAGAAGCAAGGAAGCCAAGAGACGTCCTAGAATTTCGACCCAGTCATACTCCGCCTTTCCTCCCAGTGCCGGAGGCAGTGACAAAATAACCATGAACGGCTCAACCCACCGGATGACCCCCAGCCTCAAGGGGCCATCACAGATACGGATAGACCCCCAAACTAGCAATCTTCCTAATTGCGGGTTTCCAGATGGTATGGCCACTACCAACGTCCCTTAAACATCATCATATAGATCAAACCGCAATATCCCTTATGGTCGGTTTAGAACTCTTAATAGTCTTACTTTACAAACGCTGTTTCCCGAACCACGTACTTGCGTAGCACCTGCACAAACTCCCCCTCTCTTAACCCCCCCACTCACCAACTGGTGATGTGCCAAGTGCTGCGAAACATCCTGACCCGGGATCCAGGCACTCACACACACACTCACCCTCACGCTCCAGACCCTCTGTGATGCATTTACCTCCTCATTCGCACCTCAGATCGGACCCTCCACCCACTCACCTTGGGCAAAACTAGGGGCCTACCTCAGCATCATGTCAGGTCCGGTTAAGCTAGAGGGTGTATTGTATTTTACCTGAAATGGTGAGTGGGGTACGACGCAAGAGTCGTATGCCAAACAGATCCTACTGCGCATACCGGCTATGCCTGGAAGCACCACTGGACTGCAAAACATCTGGCTGGCTACAACCATTGTTGGAGCATACTTCCGTATATGGTATAGTCAACCTCTTGTGTCAGCTCATGATGTGGCCGGTGGTGTGGATCATACCAAGGAAGTCGGTAGCTAGTGCCTTAGTGTATAAATAGAGGGGCGTATCCCCCCAGGTTTTTTCATCAATCAAGTCAGTCATTGCAACAACCACATGCGTCGTAGTTCCGAGTGATATTATATGACCAACCAACCGGCATGATATAAGTTAGAGCCGAAGGGTATAATGCCGGAGAAAGTGGTGGGGGGTGGTATTTTAACACTAAATCCTCGGCTTTGGGGGTCTTTGGGGGAAGGGGTGTGTTCTGTCCAGCTGGTATGGTATGATATGCTTATGGTATGCCAGATGCTTCTGACTGCTGGAAGTTTGTATAGTAGTATTGGACGCGTATATCGCCTACGAGTACATTACGACCAGCTGCGTTGACACCTTTTGTGACGCGGCCGAGGGGTCTCCGTCCCGCATTTATATGATAGTCCTTTTTGTTCCATGACACTCATCAAGGAGGAGCTATCCCTCGACATCTTATGGGAGCCGTCCCTCATAAGAGTGCATAACAATATGACAACGTCCAGCGAATTTTTTTTGACACCTAAATTGGCGGCCCCCCCAGCAAGTTATGCAACCGCCCGTTCTTGCCTCCATCTTCCAATAGGCCATTACACCAAAAGTTTTCGTCTGTCAAAGATAAGCATATGCACAGCCTCCCTCGTATGCAATAAGTAACCCGTACACAATAATACAGCAAATACGAGGAGTCAACTAGTACCACCACCACTGTAACTACCGCCATCACTACTACCATAGCCACTACCATCACTTCCAAAACACATTCACTCATTCATTCACTTCACCCAGCTATGATACCATAGCTCACAAGATGCTGACCGTGCCGCAATATATATGTACCCAATGCATTCATCGCAGTTCCCGTGACGCATACAGACACCTCCGACAGCGATGACTAGAGGGAGGGGGAAAAAAATTCAATCACATTCCAACAATACGAACCAGTTTTTTTCCCCCCATCTCTCCCATCCGCATTGGGATCATCAAGTTGGCTAGTTTAGTTGGTTAGTCGGTACTTGTATCTGTATTCTCTCTGTCTCTCTATACTCTCTTTGCGAATGCGTAAATCAGGCCATAATAGCTGTGAATAGGGTTTCGCGGAAATACGCGTTGGGGAATGGAAGCACAGCATGCGAGTATATATGATAGAAGGCAAGTTAGGTTATGCGGTAGGTACAGTATGCACAGCGTTGGGGGGATGGGGAGGGAAAATTATGCTGTGTTAGGGATGGGTAATGTAGGTTGGTTGGTTGGTTGGCTGGCTGGCTGGTTGGGTGTGTGAGTGAATGTGACGCCCCCGATCGGTGATTAGCGAGTGAGAGGGTGTGAATGTATTTTAAGGAAAAAGGGTTTATCGAGAGGTGGGGGGGGGGATTAAGGTATGATTATTAGTTTTTTGTTTGGTGTTTGTTTGTTTGCTCCGTGATACCTGCCTCTCTATGTTTTTCTTCTTCTTACCCCTCTCCCCCTTTCCTTTCTCACGGCTCTTTCGACCTCGTTAATCCTACCGAGGTGGAGTTTGCCATGCGGCGGAGAGGGGGGATATGCATTTTTGTCGGGAGGATAACTGGTTTTTCTCGAAGAAGTAGCCTCCCGAAATTTGCGGCACACATAGAAAGCATGCACGCACGAACGCACGAACGCTTTCGCAGGTTGTACAAAGCAAGTGAATTATCAATTTTCGGCAGGCCACATCTCCTCTCTCACCCCCTTGCTCTCGCTCTCCACGAGTATGATACTTTATTCTAGCAAAGGGAGGGACCCGCGCCGCTTTTGATGAAAGCAACATGGAATGGGCAAAACAATGGAGGAAAGAAAGAAAAGAAAAAAGCGGATAACAAAGACAGGAGTCTATCGATTGGTCGAGGGAGAGGGAAATGTTTGTCACGATGGAAGCGGCAGCAAGGCCTCCTCATCTCGCTCGAGGTCGCTATACGTGCCATACCATGACTAAAAATCAGAGATTTTGCATCACTATTCGTCGCATCCGTCTGGGTCGGATGGGTGGCCCGTGGGGGATCTGCTGCAAACGGATCTGTGATTTGCTGTGGCGAATCACGTAGGCCTCATATCGTAGAATGCTGTGTCTTCGTGTCTTATTATGGGCCACTCTGAGGCCGGCCGTCGATCCAATATCGTGGGGTTGTACAGCACAGTAGTTTTGACTATGGCTGGGATTGTATGGCTTTCAGGATAGTATCATATCGAACAGTACAAAAAAACTATGGTAGACGTGGCTAGGTTATCGTCCATTAGGTTCTATCTTATCGTAGATACTACGGTCTAACTTCCTCGGATTGCGCTTCGTGGGGTCCGTGAACTCGAGTAACGTGTTTTCCTGGCGTGATACAGGTTATGTAAACCATGACAACTTCATGGTGCACGATGGTAAGTTAGATGAAAACTGTTTGTATGGTCGAGTTGTTGCCAAGCGGGGGCACTAGATAGACAATATCGCATTGTGTTGGTCCATTTTTGGGGCTATCAAAGGCACCCTTTTTACTTGTAGCTCATCCGTCACTATCCTCATCATAATTTACATGTTTGTCTCGAGGCAAGCGTTGTGTCGTGGCTCTAAGTCAATGCTGGGGGGCAAAATTCGGTGTGCATGATCCTCTCGCACGGATGAGGGCAGCGCTAAGCCACACATGGGGCAGCGGTTGCCGGCCGTGCAAAGAAGGATTCTGGCGTCTATGTACGAGTGCGGTGGTCGCAAAGATAGCTTACCCTAACCCCTAGCCCACACCCTCTATCGAATGTGGGCCATGCTGCGCAAGCGGGGGCTGACTGACAAGTAGGAAGGGGTGGAGAGCAAAGCGAAAGTGAGTCTCAGGGAGAGGGAGAAGGGAGAGAAGGGGGGGAGGAGGTGTGGTATCATAGAGGGAGGACAGAGGACAAGCCCCTCAGCTCTGTACTCGTACTCGAGTACCCACCGCTTTTTCCTTTCTTATCCTTCTTCCCTTCCTTATTGAGTCTCTCCCTCTTCAGCTTCTCCTACCTTGATTGAATGGTTTTATATCATCCAGTAACCTGTGAACCAATACCGCACCATATCACCCGGGTATTAAGAGGGACAGTGGAGAGTGTGTACCGCACGCTTGCCCTGTTCTTTTCTCCATCCTATGGCCTTTCTCTGCCGCAAATGATTGTCCATCACTCACGCACCGGTCAGGGTCAGGTCAGCCTCTTATAGTCTTACTTTAAATAGCCCGGTATTTTCCATGTACGTATCATTCAAACATACTCGAGTACCGTACGAGTACATACATATTTTTCATCTCCCTTAATCTTTTCCCCCTTCCCCAATTATTCGTTACCTTGCTGCTAGCTCCCCTTCACTTCGACCTGATTGGCCGTGCTCACAACACCTGCTTCAGTTCCACAGTAGCAAATCACCATTCTTTTTTTTTTTCCTCTCCCTTTTTTTTCACTCTCCCTTGCAGCTCTGTAAGTAAACCTCTTACCCTTTGGGTTGTTAGGCGAGGGGGAAAAAAAAGGAAATTTGATTAATTGATTGATTGATTTGTTTTTTCAGTTGTATCATAGACAGGATCCGAAAAGAAGACAATAGAAAGAAGAGGGAAACAATTTGGAAGTTTTCTCGCCATATGTAAGTTTCGTTCTGTTTTGCGATGATACCTTTTTGTTGCACGGCACATTCCTTCTTTTTACTTTTCAACCGTTTCTCTTGCCCCCCCCCCCCCCCGTTCAGTCTGTCCACCCATCCATCCCCCCCCGCCCTCCACGCTTGCTTTACCCCTCCACGCTCTGCTCGCCGCCTCCCCCACATCTTTTCTCCCCTTTTTATCCTGTTTCCCACCTCGGTTGCCCGCCAACTCTCATCGATTTCTTGTTGCTGGGTGGTCTGTAGCGATCCTCACCCGTCGCTCCCACGAACGCAGGGGGTTTTGCCTGACCTTGTTTTTTTGTTTTTTGTTTTTTTCCTCCCTCTATCTCTTCCACTATTTTCTGAAATTTGAAGGGTTTGTGCGCCCCGAGAGTTCTGTCGGCCTTCAAGATTCGAAGCGCCCCGCAAAATTTATTCCCTGGCCCTAAAACTTTGCATCAATCATTCCTCTAGCATCTTTCCCTTACAAAGTTTCAACGGGGTCAATTATCTAACTAGAGGAAAAATAAATAGCCCTCTTCCCCTCTTCTTGCCCTAGGCCCCCGTCGTCATTGTCAACCTTTGGTACTACCCACTCAGACTGCTGGTTAAAACTACTGCACCACCACTACCGCCACCAGCACTACCACTACCATCACCCTCGCTAAATAACATCCACCGTCAAAGCTTTGCAACTTCAACTTCGCTAACCATTTGAAAGTGCCATCTTCCCCCGAATCGAGGTCACCGAATAATGGCGTGGCAACCGGAAGAGGCACCCATAAGGGAGTTGGCGGGCTATCTCAAAGATAGCTTGAACAGATACAATCAAGCTGCTCAACGGCATGCCAGCGAGGTTTGTGGCCATTTTCTCATTTTTTTCATTGTTATCTATTGATATGCATGCGGTGTGCGTTCTCCGTTCTCGCTGCAGCCCGTCTGATGATTGATGACAGATGCTACAACAAGCCAGTCAATCCCCAGATATCAACAACTACTTGTGCTACATCCTCGTCCACCCTAACCCGCCCCCAGATATGGCGGTTGCCGAGTATCATGTCGTTCGCTGCTCGGCTGGTGTTCTTCTAAAGAATAACATCTTGAGTTCGGGAAGAGCGCTAGCACCGGCATTCATTGACTATATAAAATCAGAGCTTCTGCTTGGACTGAGGGACCCTCATCACCAGATACGGAATTACACGGGCAATGTCATTACTGAGTTGTTGCGCATTGGGGGGGTCATGTCCTGGACAGACATGTTGGCCCAGTTGATTTCGCTTGTGGAGAATACGGATGGAAATACCACTCCGGAAACCCAAGAGGGGGCCATGGGAGCATTGCTGAAGGTTTGCCAGGATAGCAAGGACGAACTTGACGAGGAATACGATGGCTATAGGCCCCTCAATATACTCATCCCTAAGTTTCTATTATTTACGCAACACCCTGTCCCAAAAGTGCGCATGCAGGCCTTAGAGATTGTCAACATATATCTGCCCATGAAAACTCAGTCGATCCTTGTCCACATCGACACACTCATAGAGAGTTTGTTTCGCCTTGGAAACGACGCTGATACTGGAGTACGGAGAGAAGTCTGCCGGGCTCTGGTACATCTGGTTGACATTCGGGCGGACAAGATAGCGCCCCATATGCAAGGAATCGTGGACTATATGCTTGCTCAACAGAAAAATACGGAAGAGCAGGACTTGGCCCTAGATGCTGCTGAATTCTGGCTGACTGTTGGGGAACACGAGCATTTGAGGATCGGACTAGGGCCGTATCTGTCCGAAATTGTCCCTGTCTTGCTGGCATCTATGGTTTATTCTGAGGAGGATAGAGCTAGATTAGGGGGTGGAGGGGATGATGCAGATGTTGAGGATCGAGCAGAAGATATAAGGCCAAACTTTGCCAAGAGTAAGCAAAGGTTACCGAATGGTGAGAGTGTGGAGGTTTTCGACCAACGGAAAAAGTCAAATGGAAAGACCCCGGGGGAAGAGGCCTTGGATGATCTGAGCGATGGAGAAATCGACGAAGAGTACGATTCTGAAGATGATGCTTACGCCGGGATGGATGACCCTGAAGATCGTTGGAATTTAAGGAAGTGCTCGGCGGCAGCCCTGGATGTCTTGGCAACTGTGTTCCATCAGTCAGTCTTCCAGACCATCCTGCCCTATCTGAAGGAGAATATTCGACATCCGGAATGGCCATACCGGGAGGCGGCCGTCCTAGCACTCGGCGCAGTAGCTGATGGTTGTCTCGAAGGCGTCGTCCCGCATCTCCCCGATCTTATCCCCTATCTCATCTCTTTACTCGATGACCCTGAGCCGCTCGTGCGCCAAATCACGTGCTGGACCCTCGGTCGCTATTCCCGCTGGGCCTCTCACCTTGAAAACCCGGCTGATAAACAAAAATATTTTGAGCCCATGATGGGGGGAATATTGAATAAAATGTTGGATGGCAACAAGAGAGTGCAGGAGGCGGGCGCAAGTGCCTTTGCCAACCTAGAAGAGCAAAGCAAAGATCTGTTGAAGCCCTACATTGAACCGATTGTTCGGCAATTTGTGGTAGCAATGGGAAGATATAAGGATCGGAACATGTTCATTCTCTACGACTGTATCCAGACCCTTGCAGAGCACGTCGGAAGTATCTTAGCGGAGAAACCATTGGTAGATATCCTAATGCCCGCTCTTATTAACAGATGGAAGTTGGTCAAGGACGACTCAAGAGAGTTGTTTCCTCTCCTTGAGTGCTTATCTTATGTTGCTACAGCCCTTGGAAGGGAATTCGCACCATTCGCCGGCCCTATATTCCTCAGATGCATCAATATAATCCATCAAAACCTAGAGCTGCAGATGGCCTACAATAACGATCGTGCGCTGGATCAGCCTGACAAGGATTTCTTGGTCACAAGCTTGGATCTTCTTAGCGCAGTAATCCAAGCTTTGGATTCAACAAGTGCAGAGCTAGTCTCTGGGACAACACCTCCATTCTTTCAACTCCTTACTGTTTGCATGGCGGTAGGTCTTGTTTACCCACCGTTTTTAAGGAAAAATTGGCTAATAAACCACAGGATCCGAGCAACGATGTGAAGCAATCATCCTATGCCTTACTTGGAGATTGTGCCATCTATGTCTTCGAACAATTGCACCCATTCTTGCCCAACATCATGGATCTTCTGATTCAACAACTGGGAATTCAGTCCCTATCCGACGCTGAAAGCGATACAGGGTATAGCGTGGTTAATAATGCTTGTTGGAGTTGCGGCGAAATTGCTTTGAAACAAGGTAGATTCGCCAGCCATGGAGTTCAAGCCTTGTCGGCTAACTTTCAAGATTCAGGATCCGGAATGGCACCTTACGTCGAAAAACTATATAATAGGCTGGTAAAAATTATACAAAGACCTGAAATCCCCTCATCTGTAACCGAGAACGCCGCTGTGGCACTTGGCCGCATCGGAATAGGCTCTTGTGATGAGCTTGCCCCCCACCTTGAGTCGTTTGCATATCCATTCCTAGATGCTCTCCAGAAGGTGGCGGAAACGGACGAGAAAGACACCGCCTTGAAGGGGTTCTGTATGGTTGTTGGTCGAAACCCCGAGGCTATGGAAAGCTGCCTGGTGCCCTTCTTCCGAGCCATCGCTCGTTATAAGCATGCCAGCCCTGAATTGTCTGCATTGTTCCGACAGGTAAGATGCATTTGTCCTCCTCACATGATCATAATACCCTTGAACCCTTCTAACTAAATACCTCTAGACACTTATTGGATACAAATCGTTCATTACAGATTTTGACTTGTTTATGAGTGCTATCCCGGCACCGGATCGCGAAGCTCTAAAGTCTAGATACGCCATCTGAAAAGCATATTGGCACAGTTTGAAACTATAGAGTTTCATTGCTTGAAGCTCTCGTCTCATTGTGTTTCATCGCTTTTATCTTGTTGAAAACGAATGGGAAGGTGAAAGATAATAGTTGCAATTATTTTCTGATCTTACGACTATTAGTTGCTCTTCTTGTCATGTTCCTCTCTTGATCATTCGCTTAGCTAGTTTTTCTTGTTATACAATAGAACGGCCGTGACAAGAGGTGGAATAGTTTTCAAATCAAAGAAAAAAAGCTATTTTTTTCGTTTTTTTCGGGTGTTTCTCATGGTTTCGAAATGGACGGCGCGTTTTACAGATTTTCATTTATTCTTTCAAAAGAAACTTCTGGGGTATTTCTCTTTCCTGCATGAAGCAAAAAAAGGATTAAGCATCTGATGGCAAATATGGTACAGTACGGAGTACGTTGTTTCGATGATTTTTTTCCCATTTCTCCGCGTTTATCTCTCTTTTTTTTTTACCCCTTCCTTTCCGCAAAGTATTTCTTTATTGCATCTGCTCTGACACCTTGTTATGAAATCGTTGGGTGTGCAGAAGGATAAGTTAAGTGTAGGATGCCATATCTCTGGATTGAAAGCTTTACAAGGATTTAGAAGCATTTACCCTACCATAGTAGGACTGACGGATATTATACAGTACCTATTCCCTACACTTTGCCCGTATCACATGCTGGAATCATTGAATGAGTAGATGACTAAGGGAAAATACGGGACTTTCGCCTGGTATCAACGTTGGTTGTTTAATAAGAAGACAGTCCAAAAACACATCAAAGTTGGAGTTTCTCGATCCGGCGGAATCCAATGAACTTTATTAGGAAAAACTGCAAGAGAAGGTGGAAGAATAGATTACCCTCAGACCTTCCAGGACATACCATAACTTTCGGGATTTTTCTGCCCAACTAGGACGGAGCAGTGATCAATGCTCTCTTGGCCGCCCAGTGGTACAGTACTTGCCAAGACAAGAGTTTTTGTATGCAAAAGATACATTGCAAATATCTTGAATTATTTTAGATGCCTCTCACTTGCTGTATGTAGATAAAAATAGGCAAAAAATATACAGTACAGTGCATTTCAGACACTTAACTATTTCCTCAAGTCTCGTTGAGCAATAAGGGCAGCTTGAAACTCGCATTTCTAACGTGTTTTTAACCCGCGCCTCCTAACTGAAGAACCTGGATTGGTATATGCCGGAGAGTGAGAAGTCATGATTCCGCTGTGGCTATCGGGCCAGACGTTCGAAAGGCTCGGTATATTGGGAGGGTGACCTGGTTGGGGGGCAAAGCCACCAAGAGCACAGCACAAGTATGATACAGTATAACTTACCGGCTTGAACCCTCAGCCGAGGGCGGTGCTGGCCACGCCTCTTTACTGTTGGAACTGGGTGACGCCGCGTTAGACTGGGAAATGCCGTATCATATGTATGCTGCGCCGGTACTTGTTGTAAGCTGGAAAAAAAAAAAAGGAACGCCCTTGGCATTCATTACACAGTAGAGGCACAAACCGGCTGCGAGCAATTGAGTGTGTGCGCGTCAAATGTTATTTGTTGTTTCGACCAGTTGTAATGGGCGAGAAGACGAGCCCAACAGTTCTAGTGATGCGCAGCTTATGATACTATTGCCATCGGTATATAACATCAGCTGTGCGAACCATTTTGGGGGATGGGGCTTTTTTTTTCTCTTTGCGTGGGGAGATTCGATTGGTTGGGTTAGTAGTGGGCGTTAATGCCTGTTTCACAGGGCTGGATTTTTGATCAACTTTTTGATTTTTTTTTTTGTGGACACACCCGGCTGTTCTGGAATGAAGGTTTGTTCCTTTGTTCGCACTCCTTCCATGAGCAGCAATCGTACTCTCTGGATTGCTTCATCAACTTGTGAATGTTTGCAGAGCCAGAGGGGGATAATTAATAAGGAGCTATCCTGATGCTGTACAATTCTAATGATTATGAGAACCGTCTTTTTCCTTCCTCCAAACCCATTACCTGTTTTCAGCTGGGTGACGACACCAGAGCCTCATGTCACACTCTTCTAAAATGCATGTCTCACCTGCTCGTCGGTGGTCTCGCGGGATTAGCTTTCGTCTCAATCTTGGACGCCAGCTGAGTTCCTCAAAAAGGACTTGACATCTCCTTTTGGGCCCTTTCCTCACTGATTCATAGCATGCCTGTGACCAGCCTCCTATATAGTTGCTAGCGCACACCCCAGTTTGAAATTGCGGTTTGCTCGCAAAGCCGAAGGAGAGAGGGAGTTGCTTTAGGTGTGCGCTACCTTATCCGGATTCCTGGACGAGCTTATAACATGGCTTTCGCGTTCCGGCTGAGTGAGGCTTTATAAATCAAATCAAAACAGGGGAGAGACCAAGATAAGTACTTCCTCGTCCAGTTTTTTCCTTCTTTTGAGGTACGTTCGCCTCCCCCCTCCTCCTTCTGTTTTCCCTCCATCTCATGTTTGTTGCTTAGGATTCCTCCCTTCTCCATCTAGGATTTCAGTTGTTGTTATCACTATTAACTAATTGCTGCCAATGATTGTCCCCAGAATGCACCTGTCTTGGTACAATTGCCAATTAGTATCTACTGGCAATTGAATCGGAGCATAACGATTCGGCACAATGTTCGGAGATTTCGTTGAGCCCGAATTGGATTCCCTTCCTTCCCCTTTTTTCCCCCCTCGCCGCCCCACACTAGATCTTCCCTCAATCCCACGTGGGAAGCCTGTTGTTGGGGTAAAGAGGGAAGGACGGAAGCAAAAAATGGTACACGTTATGCACCGTTCCTGGATTTCGCTTCCAGAAGCTTATGCACGGACTTTCGGCTGTTTATCTTAGTTACAGTATTTTTTCTCTCCTCCGAAGCAGAGGTGTGGGATGACAAGGATTTTTCTTTTGGATTTTTTTGTTTTATCTGGGGAATCGGGATTGCTGGGGTTAGGCGGGTAAGTTGGTGAATCCTGGATTTCGGTAGTCCAGGATGAGGTTACGATCATTTTGCGAACATGACCCACCGAGACCCTTCGATAATGATAAAGTAAGTGACGAATCTGGTCATAAGTGCCTATCTAGTGGCTGGTTAACTCTCGCTTTCATTCGATCCCAAGTTAGACTAGTGATCGCATCACAAGACAGAACACTCACTATGGTCTCGGGGGGGCTTTTTTCCGGTTGCTCATCTCATTGCCCATTGCGAAGCTGAGGTTAAGTACCGGCAACTGAGTCCGTTTAGTCATGCGACCGATGGTTTCTTCCTATATATGGAGGAAGATGTCCTTTTCTGCATTTCCCCCCAAGACTCATTATCTGCTTGTATGGTATTTTCCGGTGTGGTATTCTACAGGCTTTGTGGGCATGCAGTGGTGATCCTTTCCTGAACGGCTTTTTTTTCACTTTCTCTTGGACTACTTTTTTACTAACGGATGGCAAAGTATCAAACAGGAATCATCAAGAAAACCTCCCCACAATATATCTTTTCCAAGTAAAGACTCTTAGAAACGAGCACCAGTATCTAGTTACAGATTTCTTTTACAAACCATCTCCCATGGATAACCATTACGACGCTCGTCATTGGTCGCTCCAGACAAGATACCCCTCTGGTTGGGTTTCTTTTTCTTCCAAATGAGTCACTAATAATCGGATATGAGAAGTTTGTTTTGCGCTTTATAATCATGTTTCTCACAATACCTGGGAATCTTCTGCACGAAGCGTCACGCAACAGGCGCGTCTTCCCGTGACTCACCATTCTGGATACAAAACATCGGGCTAACCATAAAGGTCACGGTCTCACGGATTCTAGGCACTTCGGCTCAAGTTTTCTCCGAAGCTTTACAGATCGATATGCTACCAGGTCTCGGAGACCCATCCATGTAGTCGGAATTGCCATTCAAGCCATATGACCCTGGTTTCCTAAATATGACACTGAGGCTCGAGTTTACCTGCAAGAGACCATTGCATCAGATGACCATATTGTGTTACTCTACCCGGATTGATTTGGCCGTTCAATCGTTAGGATATCGGAAAATGTGGACAAGACGACCGGGGACTTGGCCTCTTACGACAGCCCCATGTTTCTCCAAGCTTTTAAACCCCGCTTACTCAATTTGAGTCCGTCAGTCTGTAGCTTGACGCCAGGGGTCCCTCAGGTATCCCTGCTGCAATTATTCGAGTTCCGGCTGGAACGGGGTTCCTAAAGCCTTTTTATTTGATGAGATCCTATAAACGGAGCTCGATGTTACATTTCCTGATATAGGAGCGAAAGGGTAGGCCAGGAGAGGTCAGCATTTTAACCCCGCTCTCTCAAGTTACAGCGCATTGGATGTGCAGGAATAAAGTGTTGAGAGTTCTATACGGGTCGTCTCTGGTGCCTAGACTGGAGTCAGACAGGCTAACCAACAATCCGCACCAAAAAAAAAAGCCAACATTCGAACGTGTAACCAAGCTCAATGTTTCCGGGATTCCCGGGGTCTGGCATCTCGATCATCCCTAGTTGGGAACTAGGGAGTATCTTGCTCTTGTCTTATCTTGGTGTACACGAGTATCCCGGTATGCGTGACCTGGCAAGAATACACGATGGATAGGCAGAGGCCACTGCAGGTTCAAGTGGAAGTACATCACGACCTGCCGCAGCTAAAGAGGAGGGCCGAAAGGTGGGGGTTGGATAGGAAGATGGAAGCTCGCCGGTGACTTTCGAACCGCTGGTGATGAATGGCTGCATTAGCTTGTCACTATAGTTGGAATATGCCGCAGCAACAACCCAATAGACAGAGAAAGCTCAATGGCAGTCTCTCATTTGCGGGGTTGTTCCCACCGTATCAAGAGACAGCATATTCCCAGTGCCCTCTGGGACATCGGCATTTCCGATTGATCTTACATGACGGGATACCCGGGGCTCCCGGGAAAGCCGTTGAGCTTCCCAATTTTAACAAAATCAACGGCATTACCGAAAGTCTCCGGCACTACCCGCAAAGTACCTTTTATGCGTGAGGGGGTTCAAACAGTTCTGGTGTCGACTAGGCAGCCAGTGTCGCCCCGGGCTCGCATAGCACGGGCCCACTTCAATAACCTAGAGCCCAATATTTTGGGTTGCACGTGGATAAGCCCCGATCTCATCTCAAATGCACATTTAGCGAAAGTCTCTATCATCATTTCGTTACATAATAACGGGGGTGATTGTTAAAAGTCCTAAAGACGGTGTACCATAGCGTTGGGTCAGGACGCTACTACCGGTAGAATAGAGTCGCTTAGACATGGCGAGTATCTCGGTAAGCCTTGGAGTTTGTCAGGCATATCAAAAAGAGAAACCCACCGCAATAGCTTAACGCATTTTAGTCTCGGGCCAGGGAATACGAACTGGAGTCAGTACTGTACTGTACATACGAAGCTCACTATTGCTACAAATATTTTTGTTGCGGGCTAGTTGGGGTTTGTACCTGATTCTCTCCTATCTGGTACATACCTAATCGCTTTTCTGTAACTGTGTTACGTTCCATCATTTATCCGGCGGTCCTGGGAGATTTATTACACCCGGAGACGCCGGTGGGTGGGTGGGACGGCTTGCCGAAGCTCTGGCTCCCCAAACCCCTGTCCGATGCCCGGTCGTGGAGAGCATAAACTACTGTACCTGCTGGGACAAGGTTGGTCAAAAGTAGGCATACTGCTGGCGCGATGATACCTGTGCTAAAGAGATCGATGTTACCTCAGAGAAAAGAGCCCCTCCCTATTTTTCCGACGTCGGACATTTGTTATGGCAACTTCCGAGGAACGACATGGCTACGCTAGCGGAGAAATTTAAAGCGTTAAATTATTCCCATCGTCGGCGTCTCCGTTGTTGAGTTTGCCAGTACGAGCTTGAGGAGCCTACGCCGAAACTTTACTCCACAAGGCGACTTCAACCGCGACAAGGCTGAGAGCCTTATGGAGACTATATAAGGCTTGGACCTTAATTTTACACCCATGTTTCATCTAGTGAAAGATGAATATATCCCATAGTGAGTAACCAGTCGTGTTAACTCTTTCGAAAACTGTCTTTAGAATTCAATGCCGATGGCGTATCCGGAAAGGAATACGGAGTTACATAGCATTTTATGAACAATTTGGAACGAGCCCTTGGTGAGAAAGATCATCGGCTAAACCACGTGCAGAGTTAAAGGGATGAAGCGAATGACAGAAGGTCATTTCCAATGACGTTTTTCCCAGGCTTACGGGACACCCATTGTGCGACCGAACCCATCAAGAATGCCGCCATCGAACAGCCTAGGCACACTGGCCGATGTACCTTTGCGCAACTTTGGACACTGTAGAAATACGCGAGCGGGAACAATGTCACACCTTGTGAGTTAAATTAATAGATATTCTCACTCGATCAGTGACCCGACTGACCCCAAGGCTGAGCGGGAGGCATCCGATTTCTCATTATTTCCCTTCTGTCTCTCAGGAGAGAGGTCCAACGGCTATCGGCTGCAGTTACGGTAACCAACCATTACCCTGCATCGAGATGATGAACTTGCTTCTCGCCAAGGCATGTATGAATGCCTGCGTAAGAAAAGAAATGAGTGTGAAAAAGCAAAAGCAGAAAAGGGCACACTTTTTTAAGCTCATATTCGTTCTTGGTCACTCGTCACGATTCCCGGCCTTCAAACCCAAGAAGCGTACTTTTCCTTACTATTTCTATGGATTGTTGTTTTGAGGATTTTCAAGTCCGAGTTCTCCTTTAGCCTCCTATTAGTGAGACAAAAACTATAGTCAAAAAAAAGGTTACACGAGGCTGTGTGCGGACAGTACATGTGGAACCATTGCAGGCCCAGAGAGAGCCTTTTAGGTTGGTGCAACAAGAAACCCTTGAGCCAGCGTTCCCCGTTCTCACGTTTTTCTCTGCACAATTTACTATTACCGGTACGCGTCGTAGGAGAGAGGTATTCTGATCCCTTCTGTCTCTCCCTCCCTCTCTCTACCCTATAGACAAGAGGGATTCACGTAGCGCTTCAAATACGGCCTGAGACGCCATTTGCTTTTGGGGTTTGAGACAGGAGGAAAACCATCCATTCAAAGGATTCATTTGCACACTCTCTCCCTCACTTCCTATCGAACTCCGGGCGGGAGAGCGTTATCCAGTCGATTTGGTAATAGCCAGTGGTCCTTCACTTGCTCAACCTTAGATCGGAATTTTATTGTCCGTTGACTCTGAGTCACAACCTGTGCCGGTGCCATTCACGGACACCGACTTTTCTTGCATCTCTAGTCAGTGGCTGCTGGTTATGCTTAATTTGTCTGGCATCTAGAGTATATTCCAGAAGCCTTCTTTTATGTGGGTCCCGCTGGCCAGAAAACCAAATCAAACCAAATATTGTTGCGGGAACTGATCCCCATCTGCCTATCTCTATTATTCGTCCGCTACTCTCTCATTCTTTTTTTCCCTTACCTTGCACCACAACGATCAGGCTGCGCCTCTACCACCTTCAACTCAAAAACCCCTAAATACTGTAAACTCTACTAAAGCAATATTGACAACGGACCTCAAATACCTACTCTGAACACCACCGTGGTTTCTTTGAGCCGATAAATACATTTCTTCTTACTGTCACTGTCTGTGTGGCTTGACGCTAATCTGGGTTCTTACTATAATTATATCCAAAAGTTTTCCATCGTCCTTCAACCTCTATACAAAGATGCCTGGGCCAGGTGGGTCGCGGAAAAGCCATACCAAGTCGAGAAAAGGGTGTAAGACTTGCAAGAGGAGACATATTCGATGCGATGAAAGCTTTCCTCAATGGTATGTTAATAGGAGACGTTGAGTTTGGGTTATGTTGCCCTACTTTCGTCTAACTTTCCTGGTCTATATTTCCTTCAACCCCGCTGTTCTATCCCGCTGACAACTATCACTTGGATAAAGCCGTAACTGCACCAAGCACAACGTACGATGCGATTATATGGACACTCCCCATGATGTGGTGCCCCCTTTAGTGGCGGGGGATCCGGATCTCGGTACCTCTCCTCAAGATCAGCTTGAACTCGATCAGTGGGTTAGAAGTGGGGAATACCCGTTCCCGAGTCTAGGTATTGGGAACCAACTATCACCCTCACGATACACACCGACCGATCTTCGGTTGATACACCACATCTCATCTGTTGCGACACAGATGCAGAGTGCTGAGCCAGATAAGTATTCAATCTGGACGAAGCGAGTACCAATGTTTGCCACCCTAGTATCCTCATCAAGCTCTTTCACAGCTTCTTTATTCTATTCTTAACGCTTACAATTTGGCTGGGAGGTTCCTAAGAATTGCCGCGAATAATGACTATGTCATGCACTCGCTTTTGGCCTTGTCTGCTTCTCATCTTTCCTGGCTAACAACATGCTCGGCGACAATGCATCTTGCCTACCAGCATCGGGGGCTAGCCCTGAAAGGATTACAGGAGGCCATCGGGGCATTCTCCAAAGAAAACTCTGATGCCGTGCTTGCAGCGTCAATTCTTCTCTCATGGCAAGCGACTGATTGGTGAGTTCAGTCTGACCACGGGGCACCCGGCGACTCAGTGAACAGCTGACTGACATGTTTCAGGCGGATGTGGGCAAGTCTGATGCAGGGAACTTCGACTGTGATAAATGCCATGCAAGCATGGAAGCATGATAGCGAATTTGGTGAGTTTATGGAGGAAAAGAGGATATTTTCACGAACTCCTTTTCAACCTCAGATCGAGGATCCGGAACGCGACAAGCAGGTTTTAGAGCACGTCTACGAAGCTTTGAAACGCCTGGAACCTTATGTGAGCGGCAAGGTTGATGAGACAAGAGGGTTGAGTGATTTGATGAACTTTATCAAGAATTTACAGAGTTGGGTGCCTATTCACTCGGCCGAGGATCAGTTTGAGTTTATTCACCCGCTCCGCGCTTGGCTCTTTTTCCTTCCGATAGACTTCCTCAAGCGTGTTAAGAGGGATCCTAGTGTTATGATTCTTCTGGCTCACTTTTACGGTGTTGCCCTGGCTGTCGAACCCCTCTTCCCTGCTGTGGGTGCAGCATACTTTGGGACCATGTCGGTTGGGCCAGTTGAGGAGATTCACCGAAATCTGCTACGGCAGCGGGATCGCATGGACGCCGGCGAGCTTCGGTGGCCCATCAGTCTTATGGAATTCCCCCTCAACATGGTTCATGAATTCAGACAGAGGATGGGGTGGAGGAGGGTCTGGGACGCGGAAGATAGTGAGGGGGGTGATATCGATATGGAAGGTGGTGGTCAAAGCCCTAGGGTCTTACATGCACCACTTTGCACCAACTTAGATGGCTTTGATGTTAGTGCCTTTGCAGGTTTCGGCATGTCGCATAGCCCGACTTCAGCACCGCATTCAGGCACATCTACATCGGGCGGGAGAGGGAGTTGGGATGCCTGAGACTATGAGCTGGTCATAGTTGAGGGAAACTGTGTCTTTTTGAGGCATGCTTCGAGAGGGGAATGGTTTAAGGTGTTCGGTAGAGGATAGGTGGCGAACCAGTATAGCGTTAGAATTTTCGGATTTCTTTTTTGGTTTGGTGCTCCATTGGTATCGGAAGTTGGGAGAGCACCATGGATGGACGAGATACTAGGGTTATATTTTTATTGTTTTTACACTGGGAATACTCCCGGAGTGGAGACATTCCTCACGGCGAAAATGGGTTTTTTTTTCTTTTACGAGAGGGGGCTAGCTTCTTTTTAGAAGTTCTTTGCTTTCCTCGGGTGCTTTTTTCTTTCCATTTTTTATTTCCTCCCCCCCCTCCTCTCCCCACCCCCCTACTTCTTATTCGTCTCCTTTTTTCTCTCTCTTGGGTTTCTTGACTAAGTATGAATATCCTTTTGTTTGGTTGTCCGTTAATTGCTCAAACATCAATTGCCTAACGCATCTATCTCTGCGTGAGTGAAACATTGTCACGACCCAGCTTGGTTTTCAAGGACCCAAGAGGCTCAGATTTAGCCGATCGATTCCATAAACGCGGGCGATTTACCATCGAAGATCTTCTAGTGACCCTTACTGGTTTAGAAGTCCGTGTGCGCCGGCCAAGGTTTTCCCACTGGGGGGGAGGGGGGTTAGTGGGTGGGTGGGTGGGTGGGTGTTAAGCTTCTTTTGCCGACCACCCTCTACCGGTACCCTAATCTACAAGTATCGCAAGCACTCATACAAGTGCTCAGTACTCGAGTACGAGTACAAGTGCAAATAGAACGGCGCTATTGCACTCCTCAGTTGAGTGACCGAGGGGGAAGGGAGAGAGACGCTAACTTGTGCAGGTTTCGTCTATTCCTGAAGGTGCAACCTCCAATAGGTCATTTTGCGAGCGTCATCAGTTCGCTACGCTATTGTATTATTCTACACGCTATTGATCGGAAACTAAACATGTCTTAAAATGGTCTACAATACGGTACTTTATTGTCATTCGTTCACTCGCTCGCTCACTCATCCAGCCCTTCAAGAAAATGATATTATAGGCCCTTGAGTTCCGGGACCTGGAAATAGATGGACGGATGGGGGGTGGTTGTCTGTCTATCAATCAAATTAATCAATCAATCAATCCAAGGCTTCATTCAGCTAAAAATTTGAGGGCGACTTCCCTGTAAAAAAAACGAGGATCGACATGACTTTTGATCTATTACAGATGGTTGCTTTTCTGAAAATGGTAACCCCATCGTAAGTTACTGTAAGGATTGTACAACCTTGAGGGTGACGGAGGTTAACTTTGCATTCCTGGTCGCCATCATAAGCATCACCCTACCTACCCGAACCGCCCATAACGTAACATCCCGTACTGTTACTGTTACAAGTTCGTACCTGTGCCACGGATGCCATACTTATCATGATGAGTGACCCCAGTACTGCGCGCTAAGATATTCTTAATACTCGTACCATACGGGTTGGAAATTTTTTCTCCGTCATTCTTATTATTATTATTGGCGACTATTAGCGTCTATACGTGAATAACCCTAACTTAATTATACGAGTACTTATTATAACCTAATTTACACTTATGTACACTTATCATGACGGTCCTTTTTTTTCTTTCCCCTCCTATCCTTCATTTCTTCCTTCCACTTCTCTTTTAGCAACAACCGGACAAGCACCTTGACTTATACAATAAAAGAAACAGATGCTACATGCATACACACTTACATACATACATACATACATACATACATACATACGATAGCTAACTTAAGTCCCACACTTGCATATTTTTTCTAAATTTGCATGTTTTATTTTTACAGGAGGATGGAGGGAGCATGCCTAGTTGGACCTGAATCCCGTGTCCTATCCTGTCCTGTCCTGTCCTGTCTCATGGGCTAAAGGTCACATATTTTTTTTTCTTTTTTTTTTCCTTCCCCCCCCCCTTCCTCTCTCTCCTCTCCCTTCCTGTATTGGAATAATCATTCGGATTGGTACATACTCCGACTTATCGCACTTGTTCTGTTTGTCCGGTTATCTGTGGGCGAGAAAAATGAAAGGAAAAAAAAAAGAAGGGAAAAAAGAATTTATTCGGGTCAGGGGTTTTCTGTTTTCTCTTTCTTTTTTTTCCTCACTTTTTTACTTTTGACTGTGACAGCGCGTGGGGCGAGGAAGAAAAAGGGACTCCGTGTTCAACTTGGGCGCTTCGTAGCTTCGGTGCGGACATAATTTATCACTCGGTGGGAAATTTTCGAGCTTTTGATTCTTGTTTCGAGTCCCCCTGGGAATGGCGGTGGCGATAAAGCGCATGTGACGGACGGGAGGGGAGGATGGGGGGTGCTCGTGTGGGAATTAGTTAAACCTGAACGAAGGTTCTCTCAACTCTCTGTTCGTGTCGTGACTCTGGACTCGGTGGCCCCTAGATGTACTGTATTCGAGTACTTTGTACTGTACTGTACTGTACTTGTATATCATAGGTGAGCTTCTATCGCTTTGTGTGTATGCCAGGTGGTTTTGTTATCTTCATCCTTTCATCCTTTTTCAACCCTGCGCTATTCCAATTTTTCCATTCCATCGTCCGAGCCGTTGTCTCGCACGTGATTTTAAAAGCGGAACATAAATGTTGCAAACGGGACCGCGCTGACAAAGCCGCAGAGCCTCCTCTCTTCCTTCCCCCGCCACCTGTCAGGGTTGCAATCTTAGTTGCTGGTGCCGTTTATTCGTTCAAACAAACAACCTGCATTTTCTCTATCACACACACACAACACAGCACAGCACCCCACCCATCAACCAACTCGAGGTTTTGATATTTTTTTTCTTCACCACAACTCACGGTGTAAACTGAAGCTAACTCGGATCTCCGTCTGTCTCTCACTAGAATATGTCTGGCGGTTGGAACACTATTGAGTCCGATGCAGTATGGTCTACCTCAGTGGGAGCTTCTGGGTTTTTTTTGCTGATGACTCTTTTTTTCTTCTTCCTCCCCTTCTTTTCCTCATAGGGAGTTTTCACCTACCTTGTTGACAACCTTGGTGTCAAGAATGTCCAGTTCGAGGAGATGATTGCGCTGGATGCGGATTATCTTAATCAACAATCGTTCGTTTACCTTTCCGTTTTTCTACTTTATCTTATCTCGCTTTGTTGTTGTTGATGGATCACTTCTTAGTCCCGTTTATGGCGTCATCTTCCTATTCAAGTACCCTGTCGGCCAGAAGAAAGCCGACGAAGCGGTAGATGGTCAGTACGATTTCGCCGCTTCTGAGAATATATTTTTCGCGAATCAGACGATTCAGAATGCTTGCGCTACTCAAGCTATCCTCTCGGTGCTGCTCAATCGTGGAGATCTTGATCTAGGCGATCAATTGAGAGAGTTTAAGGAGTTTACTCAGGCTTTTCCCGCAGAGGTTAGTTCATGCTCATAGCCGTTGTTTAACGGGGATTATTGTGCTGACGGGTGTGTAGCTCCGCGGTGAAGCTTTGTCAAATTCTGGTAGGTCGGGATCCTTGTTACATTGGACTTGTGCGATGATATTAATTGGTTTTTAGAGTTGATCCGTGGCGTTCATAACTCTTTCGCTCGTTCTAGTCCCTTTATTGATGAGGGCACCCGTGCTGCTACCGAGGATGATGATTTGTACCATTTCATTGCCTACACTCCTATCAACGGTATCCTATACGAGATTGACGGTCTACAGCCCTCTCCCATATCTCACGGGAAGTGCACGGAGGAACAATTCCCAGAAAAGGTCATTCCGGTCTTGCAACGGAGGATAGAGAGGTACCCTGCCACCGAGATTCGGTTCAATTTGTTGGCGATGGTACAGGACCTGAGGATCAGGGCCGCCGAGATCGGCGATGTTGAAACGGTTGCTCGGGAGGACGAGAAGAGGAAGATGTGGATATGGGAGAATGAGCTTCGCAGGCATAACTTTGTCGGGTTTGCTCATGAGGTCTTGAAGAGAGCTGTTGCGAGTAAGCTTAGGGATGGCAAATACGATGAGTGGATAGACGAGGCGAAACAGAAGGCTAAAGACCGAATGAGCGAGAGGAAGAAGGTTAGAGGCGAGAAGGAGGATATTGCTTCTCCTTAACAGATGGCCGCTGTTGTTAACATGGCAATTCCATACTGGTACTCAGAGGGTACCGCAGTTGTCACACTATAAAACCAATTCTGGAAATCAGGGTTGTGATGCATGTTCATAACAATAAGTGGTGATGGTCGTTGAAACTTCGTTTTGCGATTGCTGGAGATTGGGGAGGTTGGGGCAAGCTGCTGTGTAACTCGCCTTACTCCCTACGCCCCACGCCCGGTAGCCTTGTGTCATACCAACAGCTTTTCAAGGTTCAGATGAGATCGTGGGGTAAATTTGTATAATACCAGGGCCCCGATACCATCATAGGGCGGACACTTGCGCCGGTAGCTAGCCTATAGGTCACACACGATACCAGCTGATCAGGCCCCCCCCATATTATACCAGAAGCATAGGATTAAGAGTTTGCGCAACCACCCCGAGGCGGCTCCCCATGCTACCTTCCCTTCTTCACGATGATAACCTTCCGCTAGAACATACGACACCCTCCTTCATGGGTGGGGTGCAGGATGGTAGGTAAGGTTGTGTACCATAAGTCGGCCTTTTCCGGCAACTTCTGCTACTAAGCCGAGTGATTATTTATGAAGACTTCATAATATAACCCGTGCTCTACGTTGCTATAAGTTATCTCTCACCTTGCATAATTCATAGAGCCACTTCTGGCCTCATGCTCCGTCACTCGGAAACGAGAAACCGAAAGCTCGTTCAGCGCATGCAGGCTCACCGGGCTCGAAATCTACGGCCGGATAGCTAACTGTCCATAACGAGGCAATGAATCCTTTTCCATTCTTGCGCTTTGCAGCTACGGTACGTGGATACCATACCCACGCAGATGGGAAGGGGTGATGTGTGAGCTTGTTTGGGCTTCCCCTCCATCTCCGTCAGAGCAGGCAGGGTAGGGCACCATGCATGTATGTAGGCAGGCTAAGAAGCGTCGAGTATGTTATGTCATCAATTGTGTGCGATTCAATGGTTCACTACATGTCCTCGGATGACTGTTGGATAAGGTGGATTGGAAAGAAGGAAGGAAAAAAAGAGTGATTTTAAGCAATGTGGGATCATGGTCACACGAGCCCGAAAGGCAATACAGTAAGGCGGGAAGGGGGGAAAAAGAAGGTAAAAATAAGATAAAAAGTGGTCTTATGACCGATCGAGATCCTGTTGCAGGAAGGAAGGAAGGAAGGAAGGAGATTGGGGAGGAAGAAAAATAATTACAGGTTCGTGGTGTTGAGGTGGTTTCAGAGCGGGCTGCTGGCTTGCATGTTAGGGGTAAAGGGAAGGGAAGGCCAAGGGAAGAAGATGTTGATGTTGTTCATTGCAGCCTTAGTCAACTTTTGAACCCGGAGCCTCAGCGAGCCTTAAACCCGGGAAGGCAAAGTGTGATAAACCCATGCCATACCGCCGGCAAAGTTCCACATATCTTTTTTACACAAGCTTCTCTCTCTTCCTACTACCTTGCGTCCTCTACTTTTACTCTCCTGTCAATTTTCCGGCAAACAGAGAAGCTGAATCCGTTACGATGCTTGAGACGATTTACGTTACTAGACATGGCGTGAGTTCTTTGATCTTATTGTTTGGCTTTTGCTTTTTTCTGACCGGTGGGGGCGGTAGTTTCGCAGCAATTGGTCGACTGACGGCCAGGGGAATATCTCTGATATGATCAAATCTCCTACCGGCGTCTCCTCTGATCCCCCGCTCTCTGCTCACGGAGCTGAGCAGGCGAGGGAGCTCATGGCGCACCTTGTGAAGCTCGACCCTAAAATCGACAGAATCTATAGCAGCCCATTTTACCGCTGTCTGGAGACTATCAACCCCACGGCGGAAGCTTTGGATCTAGGAATTCTTGCTGATAACGGTATCGGGTGAGCTCTCGATCCCTCGACACCTACTACTACACTACCGTCCGCCGCACTTGCCCCGCGTTTCGTGCTAACTGAGCTTTGCCTACTCGGAACAGGGAATGGTACGGTGTCGCTCGATTCGGTAGGCTACTCTCCCTACTCTCTCCACCTTCCTGATGTGCTCACGAGTTTTTTGTTGGCAATTCTTTGCTGCAGAACACCCGTCCCCCGCTAGCCCCGAGTTGTTGCACACTTTCTTCCCACGTGTCAGCCTTAGCCACGTCCCCACTATCATCCCATCCACTAGTGGTGAGACCATCGCTCAGCTTCACGATAGGACTGCGTATGCCCTTGCCAGAATTATCGCCGACATTGATCGTGGTTGGGCTGAGGAGGGGAAGGGACCTAAGGCTATTATCATCTGTAGTCATGCTGCGCCTAATATTGCTGTTGGGAGGGCTCTCACTGGTCGGTTCTCTGCGATCCCGTTGGTCCTGTGGACGGAGCTTACTAGGCTGAGCAAATAGGTGATGAGAAATTTGACGTGAAGACTGGAACTTGCTCTCTTAGCACTTATCGCCGCCGCAAGGTTCCTACCAGCCCGACCATAGTCCCTGCTCCGTCTGACGCGTTTCCCATCCCGGATATAGCCTGGCGTGGTGGCAACGGTGTCGGGGGTGGATGGGACAGCGTCCTCAACGGGGATTGCGCCTTCCTCGCGAACGGCGAGGAAAGGAATTGGTGGTTTTCGGATGAGGAAGCTTGGGACTCCGCCGTCGTCAAGCCGAAGCCCGGTGAGGCTCCTGGGGGGTCTGCTTCTCAGGCGGAGCGTACGGAGGCAAAGATATAACGTCATAGGGGAATTTATAGACGAACGCGATGATACCTAGCTAGAGAGTGAGCTTGGGTGATGAGGGCGTTATGGTTATATTTTTTCTCGGGGTTCTCGGATGCTAGAAAAATACCATAATATTATATTTCCATGACCATCTTTTTCATGTTTTACCTTGTTCTCTTGAGTGGAGAAAAGTGATATGAGACACTGGTAGGCGCAGACATACGAAACCAAGAGCTAGTGATTTCTTGCCTAACCTGGCATATAATTGAAATGCAGGGACAGGGTAGGATTAAAGTTAAAGACCCCGGAGACATTCGGCCATATGATGGCTTAGCCCCTTGGATCGGGTGATTAGCACATGGGCCTGCCTCTTGCCTGCCAGTACGGTAATTGATTGCTCTAAATTGTAAGTGTGCCATGCCGCTATCTACCGGCTGTCCAGCCCACCCCCTTACAGTGCAATACCCAGTTGGCCAGCCTTCATTACCGTCTGCAGTGTGGCAGGCCATCCGGCCCAAATGTCTTTCGTGCTATTTATTTATTTGCCGGCAACAGCCCAGCACGGGAACACGGTCTCAGGGTACCGGTAGTTGACGTCCCATGGGAGGGCACCCATGTATCGTAGTCGGTAACATGAAACAGCATTATATTGCTGGTTCCATCCTCTGCCCATGAGCTCCTAGGCGAGTGATTAGGCGTGACGCCTTGAGGAAGAAAGGTGAGGATTGAATTGAGGAAGGTGTGGTTTGGGAATTTTCATGGTTTATATATACATAATATTATTAGGGTGTCGTTATTGGTGTAATCCTGCTGGTGGTTCTTGGTTTGGTAGTAGGGGGGGAGGGGGGACGGCTGTCATCGGAGGGAGATATCGTATCATAGCGGAGACTGTGATATCTGGTCTCGAGTCAGTAGGTGTTTGGACACCAGGAGTGGTAATTTTCTCCCTTTTGCGGTTGATGTTATCGTGTCGGAATATAGTAAGTAATAGAACCTCGAGCTGGATGAGGTACCAGTACCCCCTCCGCCCTCCCTCAAAATTGGAGGGGGGGAGAATTTTTTCTTTTCTTTTATTTTCATTCCACGCCCGAGTTAGTTGATTAGTAACGGCTTGTTTCCGTGGGAACGTTTGGTTATTCCATGGAGCACCTATAAGATAGCTACTTAGCTTATGATAGATGATTTATCGTAGCTGCGGCTAAACGCCCGAGAGACTGGTTAACACCAGTGAGGGTTAGTTAGTGAGAGTTTATGATGTGGTATCATATGATAGAAGTTTTGAGTCCGCAATTAATGGGTTGGGTAGGGTAGAGTATAGTAGGGGGGGTTGAATTGGAGGAATATCTCACTACACAGGGGCGGGGGTACTAACTTTCGGTCGACTCAGACCAGCATGGTTGTGTGTGTATGTATGTATATAAACCGTTTATTCTGCTCCTAGCACTGGGCGGGCCTAAATGGGGTTCACGCTGCACTTCCTTGCAGGCCCAAACGAAAGAAGCTTCACCCCCATGTCTCCCTCCATCCCAAGCAGCGTTTTGTTCCTCGTACAGGAAACCCATCCTTGCCCTCCGGGGCCCGGTGGTTGTTGAATTCAATAAGATCCTATGACAAAAGAAACTCACTCCTATCCCCTCGGTCAGGTGGTCATGTACATAATGTCGTGAAATGCTTCATAACGGAAACTCAGCCCTGCTTCCGGGCCTGGTGGTCGTATGAGAGATGTAATAAAATCCTCCGACTGTAATAAAGGAAACCTACTCTTACTGCCACCATGGCTTCGAGGTCATCTATATCAGAAAACAATCTGGTAAAATAGCATTGCCCAGCTGACTTTTTGGACACCTCTTTGTATCTCATGATTCCTTGTTTAATGGGTGTTTCCTGTAGAAAGGTAGGTTCTAAGAGTATAACTGTACAGAAATATTTTCTTCCAAAGATAAAGATTGTAACGTGTTCAGACTGGGGTAGAACATGTATTATTAGGAGGCAGTGGTAATGGAGAGGATTGACTACTGGTATAATGAGGGCTTTCTATGAGAAGATAGATCTTAAGAGTATGACTGAACTGAAATGTGATCTTGGGAAGATTAAGAGAAATAATAGTGTAACGGAATCCTGTTGTTCTTTACTAATATAAATAACTTGATGTTAGTACTCACCTACTTAGGTCTCTTCCTAATAGCGCATATTTCCTCCACCACTTAGTTAGTACTCAATTGAGTACATCTTCTTTGTTTGCTTAGTTGTACCCTTTGCTATGCTAATACCTAGTTGGGTATTTGAGAAATATTGTATCTATTGTACTAACTGCAGTGATAGTGAAGTAACAATAATAGGCAAAATATATCTTGAAGACTTTTTAGATTATACAAGCTTGGGCACTCTTCTGATAGGAAGGCTGGATCTACCCTTTTATATATACTTTATCATTACATGAGTACTGTCTCATACCAAGGAAATCTAAAGAATGTACTAGGATACACTAGTATAATACACAGTCATGTGGCTGTGTCACATGACCAACACAACCTCATCACTGGATAGAAAAGGAATAACATATTTTCCAACAGTATTCCATTAAATAACTGTTACTACTAGATTAGTACATTAGTAGCGACCTCCTGTTTTACCTTGTTTGGATTCCATTACTAGTTTTGTTAGCTTCATCCTGTTATATCAAGTCTACTCCTTTATGACTTTAATTGATTTTCTTTTGCTACTATGTTGGCACTGTTGAATGTTTCCTTTGAATATATTAGTATTGTTATATTTCTTAATTACAATTTTGTATATTTGAAGAGACTACAATCCCTTAAGGATTGAGTTTCTCAAGCTTCTAAGGAATACCCTTCTGAATATACTACAAGTTAAATAGTTACTTTATAGTTTCCTCAGATCTGCTAATATTAAAGTATAATTCTATAAACACTTCTCCTCCTATCCTAATAGTGTTCAGGAATGTCACGAACGTGGCTTAGTGAGGAAAGGGTTTTCATGTGACGCATAGTTATGAGTCACAGGTATGTTATTGTTTCACATATATGACTCATTCGGGTCATATGATTTGTTATGTGTGGGATTTGTGATGCTTTCGCACATGGCTCAAATATGAGTCATGGGATGAGTGTGCCTTGCGAGTGTACCTTGCGAGTATGCCTTGTGGGTAAGCCTTATGCATATGAGTTATGTTTCGCACATATGATTCGGTCGAGTCATATGATTGGTTTATGAGTTTTTTGTACATGACCTCGCTATGAGGTCATGGGGTTTGAACATGTGACCATGTGGGTCACATGATTAGTTTGTTATGATTTTGTTTCGCACATGTGACCACTTTAGGTCACATGATTAGGGGCGGAAGAACACTATATAAGGAGGCCAATGCGGCCAAGGAGGATAGGTTCTTCACGCTTTGTTCTAAGTACATTTCCTACATATTACTTTAACAAATATAAAACACCTTTACGATCTTTATCTTTACGACAACGTTATTGTTATGCCGAGGAAGGTTCTTCACAAAGACGAGTTAGAAAAAGCTTACGATAGACGTTCCCGATAGAAGACAAAGGTCTTATACTATCGGTAACGTAGGTAGAGGCCTAGAGCTATCGTAAGACAAAGGAAGAAAGAGACAGACACAAGAAGTATCATTCCCCATCGCCAAGAACTAACTATCCAGAGAGGGATTGTTACAAGGAATCTCTTTGAGATTCTTGAGATACTTGGGAGTAGGTTATAAATAGTCTTAATATCTTAACAATAGAGTTGAGGAAACAAAATAGTAAAACTTAATATAATTAAGCCTACAACTTCACTTAATAGGTTCTTTAGTTTGAAGCGGTAGTTGGTTGTCATAGTTATTTTTTATTACTACAATGTATTTATAAGTATCAAACTCCTATGAGCTTATCTGATCTGCCTTTATATTGATCCTCAAGATTCTCTATAGTAGGCTAGCCAGCTCTTTAGTGTTTTGAATTTTCCAAGACTGAAGTGCTTTAGCTACTGAATTTCCAATACATCTATATGACTAAAAGCTTTTCAAATTATGGCAATATCAGTAGTAAACTGTCATGTCTATAGGGAAGTTTAATAAACTAGTAAACTCTACCAATATATATTCCATCACTATGGATCGAGTACAGTTGTTAAGTAAAAGCCAACTCTAGTGTGCATTGAGAAGATTCGGATCAGAATTTTTAATATAGATGAAAATTGTCTAGGTAGGTTTTTAAATTTTTTTTTCATTGATATCTACTAAGAATTCACTAGGAGAAACAGTAAAGATAGGGTAATGGAGATTTGTCATAGAGCTTATATTGTTAAGATCACTTCTCTGTTGCTGGATGATAGCTGGAAAGGTTGAGAGGAGGAAAAGTAGAAGTTTCTTGTTTATTTAATGTATTTTATGACTAGCTAAGAGTCACAAATGTGGCTTGGCACAGAAAAGGTTCTCAAATGACTCATGATTATAAGTCAGAGATATGTGATTGTTTTGTGCATATAACTCATTTAGGTTATATAACTTATTAGGTTATGATTTGTTATATTTTGTACATAACTTGATTATGAGTTCCGGGATGTGCCTCTGGTGAGTATGCCTTGCAAGTATGCCTTATAGGTATGCCTTGTACATATGATTTATATTTCTCATATAACCTCATTACAAGGTCATGGGTTTCGCACATATGACCACTTCTGGTCATATGACTTATTTATTATGTTATAATAGGTTTATGAGTTTTTGCACATAATCTTGCTATGAGGTCATGGGATTTGAGCATGTGACCACTTTAGTCACATGACTAGTTTGTTATGGTTTGGTTTTGAGCATGTGACCACTTTGGGTCACATGACTTGGAGTGAGAAGAGTACTATATAAGGAGACCGGTATGGCTGAGGAGGATAGACTCTTCATGCTTTGCTCTAAGTACTTTTCCTCATCCTTACTGTCACTTTGCCCTGAGCATTTCTTTTGTACCTACAATGGGCCTTGATGCCTTAGATTCTGGGGGAGATATCTGAGTTCGCTCAGTAGTTCCTGGGGTCCTTGGTGTTGAGGTCTGTTGGCGTTGCATGGCGGATTACTTGTTTGCTTCTCT